TAGGGAGATAACTCCCCATTTAATTACATCAATTCTCACACCACCCACACCTCCATACCATTCATTTTCCCTTACAATTAATCCCCATTATTATTCTATTAATTTTCATTCAATATATTAGTCCCTTCCCTTTACCTCCTCCATCACATTTGTAACTCCCACACACACACAACCCTCATCCTCCTTCGCTTGCATTTCGGCCAACCAGCAGTGGTCAGGCGAGGTGGTTTCCGGTGAGAAGGGGAAGAAGAAGGGAGAAGAGAAGTTCACACGAGAAGCCGTTCGTTGACCGTTCGTCCGTTCGTTAGACGTCATTTGTTCATCTCGTTCCCTCGTTCCGCTAACCCCTCCAACTAGAGGTGAGTAGTTGTCCCCTCTAATTCTAGAACATTTAGTTATAATCTATGTCGTTATATTCATAGGAATATCGTACGCAACCTACGTAGAACCTATGCATGTTCGTAGGTTAGCCATCAAAACGTTCACTACATAAAACTTATATATATTGGCCTAGGAATCACTATGAATATACTCATCAATGTTGTATTATCATAGTAAAAAGAATCAAGGTGTTAAGTTGGCAAAATGGATCAAAACGGAGCCAAAGACAGAAGACTGTCTTCGGGACGATCGACCACTGCTACGACGGTGGACCGTTCCCTCGGCCAATCCGACGGTCGCCACCGTGACGGTCGACCGCCGGCCGCGACGGAAGACCACGGTGGACCGTCGGCGTTCCAGACCCCCATACCGTAGCCCACGGTCGACCTTACCGGTAGGGTACGGTCGACCGTTCATCGGGTAGATTTTCAGGCAGTTTGTAAAACGAGCCCTGTTGACCATTGACCCAGAACCTGATCGTATATTGCATGAAATGTTAATCTTCATTATAAATGTTATTTAATTGATATATTCTTGGCATTGACCAAAGGTAAATATATCAAGCATTCATCATGTTCATCCTAGACGCATGTCTTAGGTTTATCATCATGTGCATACCGCTGTAGGGAGGTCAGGCTTTCGTGCGCCTACTACAGTGGGCCCGTCCAAGAACCTTTGGGATCCAACGGGTTTTCATCAAGTGGGTTTTGTGTGCGTACATGGTAGTCAGGCTACGGCTACCACCCGGTTTTGCTAGTCCACTTGCGACATTTATGTCGAGTCCGGCTCATTACTGTTCGGGTATGATAACCGGAGTGCAGGGGTGATCCTGTCAAGTGAGACTAAGCTAGGGGTGTTCCTGATAGTTTAAGTCATGCATCAGGTCATATCATCATCATATCATCATCATGTATGTTTCCAATCATTTTATTGTATGTAATAGTACCCAACAGGTGAAAACTAAGCAGTTAGTAAATATGTGGTTTTCCGTACATTAAGTACAAATATTAATATGTGTATGACCATATGGTTATCACTTAATGTTCTTTTGTTAGATTTACTCCTTAGCTTTTGCTGAGCGTGTAGTTGTTTTGCTACACGTAGGTATTCATGACGGTACCGGTGCTAACCCTGGAGAGCAGTGATGACGGGGAGATGGGCGGCGCACGAACGACTTTCATATTTATTCTTCATTTACTCAATTAATCATTTGGGCATAAACCCACCATTGTCGTTTTACTTGATTTGGACTAGACACATTTATTTACTTCTGCATTTACTCTGCATGCATTTATTTCACGCACGTTTTGGGGATAACTCCCTAGCATTTATTTCGCCAATTAAACACAACCGTTTTCATAATAAATAGACATTAATGTTCTTTACTCTACGTATGGTTCTTGGACCGCCCATGTAACCCTACCGGTCCGTTGGGTCCATGAAAGGCGGATGTTACAGTTTGTCCGAGCACCGGCCTCGAGGGATCCGCTCGAGTGTCCGTAACTCTAGTCTGTTAAATTTAGCCTTAGTGTTGTAGGGACAGAAATAGCCCTTTGAGAATAAATGAATTGGAGCTGTTGGATCCTTGTATCTGAAAATAAATGTTGATTGTTCACTGATGTTGCTGATTATATAAATGTGACATTATCCGCAAAATAAATTCTAACGTTTGATATTTCTTTCATTCAGCTTTCAGGTGAGTGTGTAGTCTTGTTGTTTTTGACTGCACGCAAGTAGGGATTTGGATAGAGAGGGCTAGCTTGAGGACGTTGACGCGTGACGCCATGGATGATGTCACCATTTTTATTACGAACATTTAATTATTGCGTTAATTAATTATTTGGGTTAAACATTTATTGTAGAACGTTATTTTGAGACTTTCGCACTTGATAGACTTTACTCTAAACTTTTCATAATTAACTGAGTGTCTAGATATTTTTTGAATAATTTGTCTTAATTGTTATGTTGTGAATGTCAATTTAGTAGCAACCCGATTCATTAACTCCTTGGTTTAGGTTACGCGAGTTGGAGTGTTACATCTACCCCTTTCAGCAATAAGGCATCGATTCACCCCAGAATATTTGGCATATTTTAGGCTTAGGCCTGATCCAGGTGGCCTTGCTACCATTAACAATGCACACATGGAGGCGAAGATAATGGTATACTGGATCATGGGACTAGCCCAAGGTTCAATCTCGGGTGACATCATTCATCGCTCTAACATGGTTGTCCTCAAAACTCTTAGTTTTGTGGAGTATGTAAATTTCACTCTTGTTTTTCCTTGATTCTTCTTTAATCCTCTCCATTATACTCCTTCTAAGCTTTCCTCTATTTTGTGTAGACTCACACTGCCATCATAAAGATGGCAGAAGTGTATATGGGAACCTGTTACTAGAACGCCCAGGCTTTCGATGATCTACTAATAAAATTTAACCAAGTGTTCAACATTACTTGTTCTATCTATTTCCTTTTCCTTTCGGAGTCACTAATTTTTATATGTTCCCGGGTGCAAGATTGTCTTGATAATGTACGGGCCTTTGTATGTATTGGCAAACTTTTCCCCTTCTGTCCCTTTACTTTTCTCCCTCTCCCTCATGACAAAATTGACAACCTTAAAGTTCTTGGGTCTTACCCTACTACCGAAGTAGGACTTAACATGCCGCGAGTAATTCTCGGCCCAGATCTATGCTTCATCCATTTGTTCTTTTTAAAAGTTGAGCTCTATGTCTTGGTTATCTTCATTCTGTTAAGGGTTACATTGTTGTTCCATCCACTTTGGATTCACTGTCTTCGTCGGTGGATGAGCTTCAAAGGTGTATGCCAAGCCAAATGGAGTGTCTCATGTCGCCTTTCAGGGTGTTATCCTATAACCCCATAGGATGTGTGACAATTATTCAGCCTAGTCAGCTCCTTCTACCATCAACTTCTTCTTGATGCCATCAATAATAGTCTTGTTCGCATTCTCCACTTGCCACAGAAGCCTTGCGGTGGCATATTCCCCATGTTTTCAGGAAACCAGTGAACTTTGCACCCTCGAACTTGGTCCCATTATATGTGATTATTTTCTACGGGATTCCAAAATCTACACATGATGTTTATTTCCATGAATTTCATCATTTGTTGCTATGTCCAAGTACTCACCTTGAAATGACGCAAGCTAAACTACGAACGCATGGTTGAGCGACGAGAGCACGGCGGCGACTGGACTCCTTCCCTTTTTCTTCCTCTTCTTCTTCTTCTTTTTCTCATTCCTCTATGTTCTACCATGCTACGATCGAAAGAGAGAGAGAGAGAGGGGGTGCGAGAGAGATTGTGAGGTCGTGTAGCGTAAAAATGTGTATATGCACGTCCAGGGCTATTGAAATAGCTTAGGAATTTGTGCTCCGTAATAAATAACATACTTAAGGAAAATCACACTTTTTTGGGCCAGCTTGCTCCGAATTTAGATCTGTTTGCACTGTTGGATTCATATCATCGAACCCTACACAATGTTATAATTTTTATAATTTATTGACAAATATTTATAATTAACTTCGAGTTCATGTCAATAATTAATTATTTTTTATTATTTTTTCTGATAGGCAGTGTTTGAGGCATTAGAGGAAGTATCTCAATTATGTGTCTCTTAGGGTTTCGTAGACAAAGTAAACATGGCAGAAAACTGCTCTTGGGTATCCTATATTTTGAGAAACTAACTGCCGGGTACCTCATATTTTCAAAATATTCTCCGAGGTACCTTCTATTTTGAGAAACTAACTATCGGGTACCTCACATTTTTAAAATATACTCCGAGGTACCATCTATTTTGAGAAACTAACTATCGGGTACCTCACATTTTTAAAATATACTCCAGGATATCTCCAAATATACATTAATTTTACGCCATTAATTTTAAGAAATAGGGGTTTGGAATTCCAAAGCATTAATTTTACTTTTAAAATTCCAAACCCCTATTTCTTAAAATTAATGGCGTAAAATTAATATATATTTGGAGGTATCCTGGAATATATTTAAAAATGTGAGGTACCCGATAGTTAATTTCTTAAAATAGAGGGTACCTCGAAGTATATTTTAAAAATGTGAGGTACCTGATAGTTAGTTTCTCAAAATAGAAGGTACCTCAGAGTATATTTTGAAAATATAAGGTACCCTGCAGTCAGTTTCTCAAAATATGGGGTACCCAAGAGCAGTTTTCTGTAAACATGGGGCTGGACGCCTTCTATGTAACACCCTAAAACGTAATAATGAATTTTTTAATAAAAAGTAATTTTAATTTTTGTTCAAATTAAATAAACATCAAAACAAAAATATTAAAATAAGATATTTTTAAGCAATCTTTTTATGGTCAATTTTATACTCAAATTTTAAGGTCTCGATGGAATGAGTTCAACTAGGTATTCCGCGTGCAAATATGAGGTATGAAACTTATTAGTGACTTAACCGCCCCAAGATTTAAAAAAATTTAAATTAAAAGAATAAAATATAGAATATCGTAGAAATAATATTACAAATTAAATTTTGGATTTTTGGTTAAGTCTCATGAAAAGGTGACCAACGACATATTATTTGTCAAGTTCAAACTTATGTATAAAGAATTATGAATAAAATAGACATTACAGTTCAATAAATAAATAAAACAAATTTTATAATATAATATTTGATAATAATAACCACACTACATACCAAACCTAAACCCCTAGAACTATTCATATACGGAGTACATATCAAAGCCAATCCACCTTATACATGTATATATGTACTACATATTTGCCTTGTCCATCCGTTGTAGAGAGTCATCGTAATTCATATCTTCTTATTTCTTCACCAATATGTTGATCGAACTCAATAAGGGGATTCGCGGGAGGCTTCACCTGAAGGAATCCTACATCAATTACTCAGTAATTCGAATCCAATTAATCGAGGTGAGCGTGATATTTCTCGTTAGAATTGATTTGTAGATTAGGATTCGTTGATATATCTTCGTTCAATTGAAGTTGAATTCGTGATTATGATTATTGAATTGTGTGATTGATTATTATGGAATTGAATTTAGATTTGGGGATTATGAATTTGGTTTGAGGTTGGGGGTTGTTTTGGGGTTAAAATTGAAACAGTGGGCTTATATTATGTTCTCGGATTTTCACTTTTGCACACTTTCTGTTCTTCATATGCGTTGTCTGTCTCTTCCTATGGCCCTCTACTCTGTTCCTTTGTCTGGATCGCTGCTAGAAGTTCGGTGGTGGAAGAAGATGACCTCCCCGCGGAAGCCGTTGTATTCCGCCAAGGAGTTGTCGCTGGTCTATTCCACTTGAGACCATATGTGCGAGAGGGAAATACTGAAGTATGGGTCTTCTAAAAGTTTAACCAAATTTCCTTGGGCTTATGATTTGGGCTGATTTTAGTTGCAACAAACCAGTTGGGTTTAGATCTTAAAGTTAAACATTGGTCATAGGATAATTCAAATCTACCAAGTGAACTTCATCCATTAAGCTCTGATTTTATCATTCAACTTGATAAGTCTAATATATTATGATGTGTCTAAGTATAGTATATGTCATAGTACGAACCTTATTGTTGTTACGTGTGTGAATTGGGATCGTGAAATAGGCCACCCAGTAGTACTATGTGAATGTGAATCAATTATCGGGTTTAAGATTTTAGACTTAGGGTCATGCAAGTGTTGGAGTGCACCTGATGGTCTCTAAGGTTAAAGCGTATGAACGAGTGTCCACGACCTCTCTTGGCACCTCTGTGGTAGGGGCTCCAACCCATCTAATTAGACACCTTCCATTGGGATTACAAGCTTTGTCCTCTTAGAAACCTTCCGAGAGTGTCCATGACTAGTGTGTTTAGTTAGACTCTAGTCGAATATGTTAAGTACGGTAACAATACACAAGGATCTAAAATGAACGGACATACGAATGAACGAACGAATGACTGATTATACTATTTGATCATTGTAATTGCTGATTCTTGTGATATTACATGATTATATGTTAATGAATGCTAGTCTATGAGTTGGTTCTAGCATTAGATACTTCCACGCTCCTTGTTTTTACAAGTAAGGATCAAGGATTTGATGAGGAGTAGCCTGAAGGATAATGAGTCATGACGCTAGTGGATGGCCTGAAGATGCTAAATCGAAATTAAGTATATATTGTTGAACTTATTTACTTAAATTACTAGAATGTTGTTTTTAAAAGCTTCCACAACATTTGTTTTATTCACTCCGATTAAATTATGATTGGATTTTAAATAAATATGAATGTTGGTTTTATTTTCAAATGTTTTTAAAGTATTGTGCATGTGATCCAAATTAGTGACAATCTGATTCACTAACTCGTCAGTTCAGGTTACGCGGGTTGAGATGTTACATTCTACTTCTCGCATAATGGCCATGCTCACCGCACAGTCGGAGACCGCCAGATATAAGGTCAATATATCCCTGAGTTCAGGTTTTGACAACGCTAGAGGATTTGCCAGGTATCTCTTCTGCTCTTCAAATGCCTCTTTGCATTCTAGAGTCCACTCGAAGGTGGCTTTCTTTTTTATCACGACAAAGAAAGGTTGTTAACACACAACAACGACACGAAGAAGAAAATAAAGATGCTGAATTTTTATTGACAGAAAACTTTAGTCCAATTCAGATTCAAATTTGACCATGCTTTATTTGTTATTTGGATGTACTTTCTTCATAATAGTTGTAGCTCTACGAGTCCTTGAACAATAGCTCATCAATCTGACAAGTAACAAAAGAGATACAGTCGTTCTACCAAAAACTGGTCTAGTGGTGACGAAAAATGTGAGGTTGGTAACTTCCGTCTTCGTTTTTGTACCGTTCCTTTCAACCCGCTGATTTGTCAAACCGTTTTGACCACAGGTAGCCTTTGCAACATACTTGAGAGACGAATTTAAACTCAAGAAGTTATTTGGATGTTGGAAGGGCTGATAGCTTTCACGTCCGTACGTTGAACATTCATTATTCGTTCGGTTCTTTCTAACGTTAAATTTTTTTGTATCATATTTGAGGTAAGTACCCTTTACATATAATAGAGAAATCTTTAATATATTTATACATGAGTACGCATGATTGACTATCTAGATACATGTTGATTTAAGCCTTGAAAATACACATGATCTTACTTGATTTAGCTTCATAACTTTTCTCTCAATAAAGAACAAGAAGTGATAAATGATTAATTGAAACTAAAGGTTTGTTCCAAAGCTAAAATGAGGTATTGACTCAACCATAAGAATCTTGAAGTAAGATTAGTCGAGTGGTTAGACTATAGCGAACACCAATTATTATCATCGTTTAGCTCCGAGGTAAGCCCGTATAGGTAGATATATCTAGTGATTAGAATGTTCGTATAGATCGTTTCTACGTTCATAAACGGTTGTTTGGTTGAGTTTTGTGGTTGACATGTTTGAGGAACCAAGAATCATAAACCTTGAATTTGTTGTTAAAACTTTGAATTGATGCCTCTAAAAGGATCTACAAACCTTGGAGAACATTTCTATATAGTTTAATTGAAGTTTGGTAACCTAAAATGAAGTTTGAGGAAAATGGCCGCATGAAGAAGATGATGAATAGTAAATTTTTGTGCTGATACGGGGCCTGGTACCGTCTCTAGGTACCGTTACCAGGTACCGTCCGAAGAGAAAATTTTCAGAACGGTACGGTCACCTGTTCGGACCCAACGACCTACTGTTACGAACATTTTTCAGTTCGAAAATGCTATTTTTGAAGCTATAAAATCCTATTTTTGACACCACTCAATTATGAACAATATGAATATGATTTATGGAAATAAAAATGATATTTGGACAAATTCGAAGGTTGTGTTATGCATGACGGTAAGCTAGGGTGTTAACACTCGAAACTAGGCCGCTATTTGTTAATAAATGTTATTATGACTATTATGATCAAACCTTGATAATATCCTAAAAAAATGGTTATTATAATGGATAATGGAATATCATTGATAATAAATATTGATTATGATGATCAAATGGACAACCCGAGTAATTATGACTACATAACGATCATGATTTTATTATGACAAATAAAAATGTATAGAATTGAACGAAAGAACCGTAAAGATGAAATTATGAAGAGATATGTTTGTTTGACTATCTTGAACTAAATTATGATTATGAATTATTGAACCATAATTCAAAATGAATAAATTGATCAACAAGAAAATGATGTGTATTGTTAAGGATATCTAAAAGATATACCTATTAACTAATTGATGTTAAGACTATCTAGAAGACCTCTAGAATAGATCTTAGGATGAACTTATGAAAACATGAATAGTTGATGAATTAGATAAAAATGCATAAACAGGATTAGTAGACCAAACTAGCGGATTACTCGTTTGGGAATGCCCGATCCAATGTTGATCAATCACTATATTGTTGTTGCCTTACAGTTAAGTGTCCGAAATCGATTGCCTTAAACTAATGATAGTTTAAGTGTCTGGTTGCCTTAACTGACTACAGTTAAGTGTCCGAAATCAATTGCCCTAAACTAATGATAGTTTAAGTGTCTGATTAATAATTGCCTTTTAAGGATCTGGTTATGAAAATTATGATTTGGCCTTAGACTAAGAATAGCTAAGAGCATTGTTATTATCTGGCCTTAGACTAAGAATAGCTAAGAGCATTGTTATGATATGGCCTTAGACTAAGAATAGCTAAGAGCATTGTTATTATTTGGCCTTAGATTTAAAAATAATTTAAGGGCACTGTCAGAATAATATCTGAATTGAATAAAATGTGTTGATATGAACTGAACATTATCAAAACTGTGAATGTCTGAAATGAACATTGTGTGCATGATATCAAATGATTTGATTATGAATTTAGATTCAGTTTATATGGATGTTCGATGCATTAGATATGCTTACTCAGCTTTACCGCTGAGCGTGTAGTGTGTTTTATTTGCTACACGCAGGTAAATAGAAAGAACAATGTGATCCTGGTGGCAGATGGGGCGAGATTGTCGGGATGGATGTTACAAATTTTGAGATAAATTATGATATGTCAATATTAAATTCGCTTCTGCAATATTGTTGAATACTTTGTACTGTATATGTTATGAAAAATATTACTATGATAAATAAAAGTGTTTGAAAAGTTTTAAATTTTTACGATTATCAAGTTAAATACTTTAGTCCGAAAGGGGCTGCAGACTTGGACGGATTAGGGTGTTACAATTTGGTATCGGAGCAAATGGTTTTAAAACCGATCTTCGGATCAAAATTTGATTTATAAAAAAAATGTTGGTCACATCCACGACTCACGCATCCCTCTGCTCTAAGAAAGGTATGAGAATTTATTAGATAAATATTGACTTTGTTTAAATTCTCATTAGATAACAATTGTTAGTACTGAAATTATATCTAGCATAGACTCAAATAGATTTTTCGTACTCAGTGAAAATACGAAAAAAAATAAAGACTCCCTGATGCGTTATCAACGTACTTATCGCATCGCGAATGACAAAACTGATCTGCCTCGTAAAGTCGCATAGAAGTGAGACGACTATGAAGAAACAATTTATGTTGAATAACATCTGTGAAGTTGCTGTCAAAGATCCTCATGTGGACTAAAGACGATCGGATCGCTACGAACGTTTAGAATCAATAAACTCTGTTGTCTAAAAGTATCCCATTCTGATTACAACGCAAATATGTGATTATATCATACAAATCGAAATCGCTCGTTCAGCAACAATTCGTTGCAAAACTTTGTTGAAATATCATACAAGGAAATTGACGTTATCCTTATCCCGCATATATGACTTATTTGATCAGCTTAGAGAATCCATTGTGCTCTCTAAGACTGACTTACGGTCAAAGATACTATCACATCTCTGTTAAAACAGACAAACTGACGATCAAGAATCACTACCTTTACTATGAATTGACGATTTGTCTGGTCAAATTCAAAGGAACCTACCTCTTAGAAGCTATGGATATCTCAATCTTGTTGAATGAGGTGACAAATTGTTTTGACACGATTAGTGACTTAAACATCGATGTAGTTTGATAGAATTAATATCCGTTGTCAACTCGTCTATTCAAGTCAAAGAATCCTAACGAAGGAATTTCTATTATTGTAGAATGAGTCAAGAAACCACTCACAATCAAAGTAACCAAGTACCAAGCGATGGGCACGAAAATGTTCATACTGAAGCATCCAGTTTCACACCTCCTATTCAAACTGAACAAGTGAACTTACAACATATTCTCCAAAATGATCAAAATGTCGGAGGTCAACCCAACGCTATGCTACCTACCTTAATGGTAAACTTCTTGCAACAAATGACTAATGCCCCTGTGTTTCAACCACCTCCACCACCACTTTGTTTGATCACTTTCAAAATCTTGAAAGATAATGGTGCTGAGGAGTTCCTGGGAGATCGAATTGCTGAACCCCTGATCGCTCTTGAATGGATCGAGCAAACCGCTCGTGTACTGCAAAATCTCAACATACCTCTTGCTGATCATCCAAAATTTGCATCTCAATTGCTCCGCAAGGAAGCCTATGAATGGTGGAAACACACTGACGAAAATCTAAACACACCCAAACTGTGGAGTTGGGAATTCTTTGATTGGGCATTCAAAAAGGAATATATCCCAGCTCGATTCCGTGAAGAGAAGCTGTTATTCGGTTTAGTCGTTGTGCCCACGCCTTAGAGGGGGGTGAATAAGGCGTTTAAAAACTTTTCGGAGTTTAATAAAAACGGTGTTGGCAAATGCGGAAGCAATAAATAAAACGCAGAAATAAAAGCGTTAAGTAAAAGACACACCAATTTTATACTGGTTCGGGAACTCCCTACTCCAGTACCTCGAGGCTCCTCCTCAAGGATTTCCGAATCCACTAAGTTCCGGCCTCTTGAACTCTGCCAAAGCACCGCACTAGTTTGGCAAACAACCCTTGCCAATAGGATTCACTCCGAGATTTTACCACGGCTATCTCGAACCGTTTACAATGAAGATTTAACAGCTATCTTCTACCGTTCCCCCAAGGATTTCAAAGGCTATCCTTGAACCTCTACCCAAGGATTTATATGGCTATCCTTAATCGTTACAACGTGAGAATTTAATGGCTATTCTCGACCGTAAGAAGGTGTTTTTGAAGAACACAAACAAAGGTTCTACACAACGGCTAGAATATGAAAATGAAGAACAAAACTTAGCCGGTGTAGAAGGAAAGTATACTCTCCCAAAAATATAATTCAAACTTATGAATATGAGAGTATATAACTAGAAACACAAGCTCAAAGTGTGTGTATAAAATTCAGGAATTTAAGGCTCTTGGAATAGCCAAAATATTGAAAATAATTGATAAAAGGATGAACACACTTAGAATAAAAAGAGAGGATGTTGAGAGCTTTGTTTCTTGTTGAAATATGAAGTATTAGGCCTATATTTATAGTGGAAGATGTTAATTAGCCGTTAGGAGGTGATTAGAGTTGAATTAATTTAAAAATCAGCAATCAGGAATAGTGTTCCAACGGTTACGGTACCCTGTCACGGTAGCTAGGTCCCGTACAGTAGCTAGGTACCTTCTCAGGCCAAAATTTCTCTGGCGGTACCTATACACGGTACCTATACACGGTAGGGGGTCCCGTGATATAGTAGGGGGTCCCTTCTCAGGCTAACTCACGGTCCCCTTACGGTACCCCTCACGGTACCTAGGTACCTTATGACAATTTTGACAATTTTTTATTTTTATCCAAATCATTTCTAATTTTGTTTAAAGCCTTTTGGATGTTTGAAATTGATTATAAAAGGGTTTTAAACATATTTTGTGAGTGTTTTTGAGCTTGTGAATATAGGTATATAAAATCATATCCTTACATCGGTTTCTACCTAAATTCTACGCTAGTTTAGTGTCTCGACTTCATTCTTGAGAACCGAATCTTAATGGATTCTTGTTGTACCTGAAACACTTAAACAAACGTCAAGCTCTTATATTGTTTGTTAACATCAAAACATGAGGCTTAGCAAACCAAGGCTAATAGTATGCTTACTTTAATCTCAAATATAACCTACAGTTGAATACAGCCATAAGAATGGAAAGTCCCTGTACCTTTTTAATCAAGACAACTATGCTTACTTTTATTTCCTTGTATATTTATGTCCTTTTTGAGTAACTGGATTGTACTCATTCTTGCTTCTTATTTATAAAATTATGTATGCTTTTGCATGTTTTTCCTTTACAACACTTGCATTTCGTCTTTAAGGCTCTTGAAATAGCCAAAATATTAAAAATGATTGATAAAAGGATGAACACACTTAGAATAAAAAGAGAGGATGTTGAGAGCTTTGTTTCTTGTTGAAATATGAAGTATTAGGCCTATATTTATAGTGGAAGATGTTAATTAGCCGTTAGGAGGTGATTAGAGTTGAATTAATTTAAAAATCAGCAATCAGAAATAGTGTTCCAACGGTTACGATACCCTGTCACGGTAGCTAGGTACCTTCTCAGGCCAAAATTCTCTGGCGGTACCTATACACGGTAGGGGGTCCTGTCCATACGGTAGGGGGGTCCCGTCCATAGGTAGGGGGGTCCCGTCTCAGATTAACTCACGGTACCCCTTACGGTACCCCTCACGGTACCTAGGTACCTTTTGATCATTTTGACAATTTTTTCATTTTTGTCCAAATCATTTCCAATTTTGTTTAAAACCTTTTGGATGTTTGAAAATGATTATAAAAGGGTTTTAAACATATTTTGTGAGTGTTTTTTAGCTTGTGAATATAGGTATATAAAATCATATCCTTACATCGGTTTCTACCTAAATTCTACGCTAGTTTAGTATCTCGACTTCATTCTTGAGAACCGAATCTTAATGGATTCTTCTTCTACCTGAAACACTTAAACAAACGTCAAGCTCTTATATTGTTTGTTAACATCAAAACATGAGGCTTAGCAAATCAAGGCTAACAGAAGCGTGCTGAATTTATTGAATTAAAGCAAGGAGATATGACACTCCCTGAATACCGACAAAGGTTTGTCCACCTCGCTCAATTTGCACCCACAGTGGCTGACCGTATTGAAGAGTTTCGCAAAAGACTTCGACTTGATCTCAGGCCGCTGTATCTACTATCTAAACTATTGATTTCATTGAGGCATACGACCTAATCTCTAAAGCCGACAAAGATCTAACTGATTACTATGAAAGTCTGAAGACTGAGGTTGTCAATTTAAATGAACGACCAAATACAAGTGCGAAGAGACCCGTGCAAGAAATTGATAGTGCACTACACTCAAAAAAGGGAAAATCAATGACAATTCAATCGACGTCATCCATGAACAAAATGAGAGTATGGAAACATTCAAAGTGTAACGTTTGTAAAAGACACCATCCAGGAGATTGATGGCGTGCACAAGGATTATGTCTAAGTTGTGGTAAACCTGGACATTTCCAACGAGAATGTCCCTCTAACCCTAAATCATATTCAGTTACTTCTGTCCAAAATCAACCTGTTCGCTCAAGAACAAGTCAACGTTCTAAAACACGAAATATTTCAAAGAATCCAACCCAAGGATGATACTCTGTGAAGATCCTAAAGTGCTACAAGGGCTCGAGGATGTATTGAATAATGTAGAAACCTTATGTAAACAAGAAATTTTCTTTCGATTTGTATCTCAAGAATATTTGTATTTTCTTGAACCTACGTGTGTTGAAACCATTGTATAATGAAACCTTTCATTTGACCCATCTTGAGAAAATGTTTGATATTTACATGATGCACTCTGATGTTGAAAATAGATATTTTTCTGACTTGCACTGGCCATGCAGCTTAGAATAATATTTATGGTTAACTCATGATGTTCATAGACAATATTATTCCAACACAAATTCAACTGAAATTACATAAAGTAATATTACAAATGCAATTCTAAATCTAATCCCCCGGGATTCGCAAACTCGTCATAATTAGCCCCAGGACCCGAAAAAGCTTTAGCAAACACTAGCTTGTCTAAAAGTTCATCAATAAAGAAAGAAGAGATGAAAAGTTTCCTTTGACTGGAAGCCATGAAGTTCTGTCTCACCGCATCATCTAGAAATTTGATTAGATTATTAAAATAGCCGTCAATGTTCAAGAGACCAATGGGTTTACTGTGCAACCCTTCGGATGCCCATGAGATCAAAGTGAACAAACCTTCCATAATGTCAATTCCTCCAGGAAGTACGATGAAGGCTTCCACAACATGATTCATCTCGAATTACTTATAATAGTTGCTGGAAACTGTGTATTTTGCACCATACGTAGGTCCGTACACCTGTCGTGCTGCTATGTACCCTGGTATGAAGCCTCTAACTGTACCACCATTGGTATAAACTGTTGAAGCAACAGCTCCTTGAAGGCCAACGTTGCCTCCTCCATAGGTAAGCCTAATTTTTCTCCTTACCAATTCCCTTCCTAAATCTACCGCCGTAGCCATGAACTTTGGATTTCTACCAAGAGAATGACTACCAAGTAGACCAACGAATTTTATGGTGTAAGGAAAAGTTCGAGAACTTCCTTCCATAATGTGAGAATGTAAGATACTCTTTCCACAATTGTGATATATATAGGTCCTAAAACCTGACCTTTGAGAGAAAGGAAAGTATCCTCAGTCGAAATTTGTACAGCAAAGATGAATTCAATTTACCTACTGACAATTACGTGTTTGCTAATACTAAAGTCTGCTGATGATATGATATATTGAGACTCATGAACAGTTAGATTCGCTGTCCTAAAATACGAGACGAAAAGTCAATATGGCTATTGCTCCAAGACAATGACCCCTTGAGTAACTTGAGAGATTACGTTACGACGTATGAACTAAAACAATCTCCAAATTTCCAGCTATGCCTATCGTGAACCTTCTACAAAGGGTATTGAATAACTTTTCAAATCGAGAAAAGAATTCTTTTGACCAATGACGTACAAATGAGACTCGTGACTAAACGAAGTTATGTGCAAATATATCAAGTATACAATACTATACTTTTGTCATCAATACCAAGGGATCAGTGAAGACCTTGCTTAATCGAAGTTTGTTAATCTCTCGAATGTTGAACGAGTTTGGTGACATCAACGATTTGAGAATGCGTATCTATGAGACGTAACCATGTGGACATGACGTAGTCATGATTAGATATGAATACAACAAGATGTTCATTGTGGACCTTAGAAGAATTTCGAGGACGAAATTCCTTTAAGGGGGGAGAAATGTAACGACCCAAAACACACCATAAAATTATTAATGAATAATTATTCAACTAATCAAATTTGTTTTGATTAAAATAAATTATTATTGGGCTTTGGGCTGATATGAAATATTTTTTAATATCCAATATCAAAATCTGGATAAGTCTCATAGAGATAAATCCAATATGTGGAATATTTTTGTGAACATAATTGGAACCTGAGTACAGACTCAAATCAAGAATAAATAAATAAATTAATTATGATGTGAACGTTGTAATGATTTATTGAAATAAATCATGAGAATAATTGATATGAATTAAATAAGAGAACCTTTTATGAGAAAGGTCAATTAAACCAATTTTGACTCTGTCAAAGTCAAACACCCAAAAATATGGTGCCTGAAAAAGTATTACAAATAAATATAAAAATTATATTGTTGAATAGAGTTCAACTTTGTGATCGCAACGGTGCGAACAGAACTCATTTCGGAGAAAGTTGGACCGAAAAGTGTACCCTGGAACCAAAATTGGTCCCAATCATGAATGGCGTAGGAAATCGGAACATATCGCCGCTGAAACCACTAAGCCCAAGTGTGAGTCACTAATGACTCAACAAAACTTGGCTATTTCCTTCTCCAATTTGCTATAAATGGACTCCTTCATTTTTCTCAAATCTCCACAAAACTTACTGAAATTCGTCCCATGAGAATCTAGAGCGTGAAGCAAGTAATTTGATAGTATTAATTGCCGTCGAGGTTGCTGGAGCAAGCTGTGGTGTTCGCCGGAAGTTTCGCCGTCCAATCGCCGGAATCATCGTTTAGCTCCGAGGTAAGCCCGTAGAAATATCTAGTGATTAGAATGTTCGTATAGATCGTTTCTACGTTCATAAACGGTTGTTTGGTTGAGTTTTGTGTTTGACATGTTTGAGGAACCAAGAATCATAAACCTTGAATTTGTTGTTAAAACTTTGAATTGATGCCTCTAAAAGGATCTACAAACCCTGGAGAACATTTCTGTATAGTTTAATTGAAGTTTGGTAACCTAAAATGAAGTTTGAGGAAAATGGCCGCATGAAGAGGATGATGAATAGCAAATTTTTGTGCTGATACGGGACCCTGGTACCGTCTCTTTCGAAGAGAAAATTTTCAGAACGGTACGGTCGACCGTTCGGACCCTACGGTCGACTGTTACGAACATTTTTCAGTCCGAAAATGCTATTTTTGAAGCTATAAAATCCTATTTTTGACACCACTCAATTATGAACAATATGAATATGATTTATGGAAATAAAAATGATATTTGGACAAATTTGAAGACTGTGTTACGAACATTTTTCAGTCCGAAAATGCTATTTTTGAAGCTATAAAATCCTATTTTTGACACCACTCAATTATGAACAATATGAATATGATTTATGGAAATAAAAATGATATTTGGACAAATTTGAAGACTGTGTTATGCATGACGGTAAGCTAGGGTGTTAACACTCGAAACTAGGCTGCTATTTGTTAATAAATGTTATTATGACTATTATGATCAAACCTTGATAATATCCTAAAAATGGTTATTATAATGGATAATGGAATATCATTGATAATAAATATTGATTATGATGATCAAATGGACAACCCGAGTAATTATGACTACATAACGATCATGATTTTATTATGACAAATAAAAATGTATAGAATTGAACGAAAGAACCGTAAAGATGAAATTATGAATAGATATGTTTGTTTGACTATCTTGAACTAAATTATGATTATGAATTATTGAACCATAATTCAAAATGAATAAATTGATCAACAAGAAAATGATGTGTATTGTTAAGGATATCTAAAAGACTTTAAGATATACCTATTAACTAATTGATGTTAAGACTATGTAGAAGACCTCTAGAATAGATCTTAGGATGAACTTATGAAAACATGAATAGTTGATGAATTAGATAAAAATGCATAAACGAGATTAGTAGAGGATTACTCGTTTGGGAATGCCCGTTCCAATGTTGATCAATCACTATATTGTTGTTGCCTTAACTGACTACAGTTAAGTGTCCGAAATCGATTGCCTTAAACTAATGATAGTTTAAGTGTCTAGTTGCCTTAACTGACTACAGTTAAGTGTCCAAAATCAATTGCCTTAAACTAATGATAGTTTAAGTGTCTGATTAATAATTGCCTTTTAAGGATCTAGTTATGAAAATTATGATTTGGCCTTAGACTAAGAATAGCTAAGAGCATTGTTATTATCTGGCCTTAGACTAAGAATAGCTAAGAGCATTGTTATGATATGGCCTTTAGATTAAGAATAGCTAAGAGCATTGTTATTATCTGGCCTTAGACTAAGAATAGCTAAGAGCATTGTTTTGAGATGGCCTTAGACTAAAAATAGCTAAGAGCATTGTTATTTTGGCCTTAGATTAAAGAATAATTTAAGGGCACTGTCAGAATAGTATCTGAATTGAATAAAATGTGTTGATATGAACTGAACATTATCAAAACTGTGAATGTCTGAAATGAACATTGTGTGCATGATATCAAATGATTTGATTATGAATTTAGATTCAGTTTATATGAATGTTCGATGCATTAGATATGCTAACTCAGTTTTACCGCTGAGCGTGTAGTGTGTTTTATTTGCTACACGCAGGTAAATAGAAAGAACAATGTGATCCTGGTGGCAGATGGGGCGAGATTGTCAGGATGGATGTGACAAATTTTGAGATAAATTATGATATGTCAATATTAAATTCGCTTCCGCAATATTGTTGAATACTCCGTACTGTATATGTTATGAAAAATATTACTATGATAAATAAAAGTGTTTGAAAAGTTTTAAATTTTTACGATTATCAAGTTAAATACTTTAGTCCGAAAGGGGCTGCCTCTCCACAGTTGTCTGCTTCCTTGTTACTAAACTGTCAATTGGGGTTGAAGTTTTAGCATACATAGGAACCCATAAAAATAAAATTGTAGTTTTTAAAGATTAATGAACTGAATTTCGACTCATCCCTTTTAGCATACATAAGAATCCATGTCCTGTGTCTTTAGGCTTATTTAATTTACTCTTTTAAAACCTGTGCTTAATGTCTGTTTGAATCAATTATTATACTTTCTTGAATTTCTGAAATAAAATTGTAGTACCTTTAAGAGCAATTTTCTAAACAAACAAGTAATTTGTTCTGATTCTGGTTACAAGTACTCAATTTGTAGTTCCCTCATGACAATACAGTACCATTCTAAACAAACAAATTGGAACTAAACGTCCACCATCACTAAACATTGTTTCCGCCACTAAACATTATTCAAGTACGGAGTACTATTTAGGGAAAAAAAAAGTTTAAGTACTCCATTGGAAAATGACATATGTTTTAGTACTATTTAGTGCAAATTTAACTTATTCTTATTGTATTTCAGCCGTTATGCAGACGAAAAGCTGTTGGCATGTGTTATCTTTGTGCAATGGCAGTGATGATAAAATATCTCGGGTCGAAATAGCAAGGAAAAACTGAACCGTATCTTGGCGAGGCAACCTCTAGGATTTGCAGCCATGGCGGTGTCTTAATCCTTTGCTTCATTATATGATTTGTTTGTCTGAGCCTGCACTCTAAATGAACCTCTCTATGCATCCATCCATCTATATGTCTTTCTGATTGAAAAATAGGGGTTACCCTCTGAAAATGGTGAGCTGAATTTTCTGAAATTAAAAGCATTTGGTAAAATTGATTTCCATCCAAGTAAGTCAAATGGCGAGTTTATCTTCCTTTGCATCTTACTTCCTGTGACTTTTTGGGTGGTAAGTGCATCAATGCATCAAGATTGTGTACATCTTGACCCCAACATCGTTGCCTCGTTGGGATTATCTGTTTGTGTGTGTATGGTTTATGTGTATCATTACTGCAGGAGCATTGGAATGTCTCTATGCCCTTACTCTGCTTGTTCCACTGTGTATACTTTAATAGCATTATGACTATTGAAGCACACTCCAGAAGTCCCTGGGAAATCAATTTTTCACAGCAGACTATACCCTCCACATACCCTACCTTTTGTGGGATTTTACTGGTTTTGTTGATGTGGAAACAAAATGTTGTTGATCCTGTTAAAATCTATAGGCTGGGATGACATATATGTTAAGTTGAATGAGCAAGGAAGAATTGAACCGTATCTTGGTGGGGCAGCCCTAGGGTTAGCAGCCATGGCGATGTCTTCATCCTTGCTCGATCATATTTTTTGTCTGAGCCTGCTATGTTAACCTACATATCTATCAATCAATCAATCTATCTATCTGTCTATCTATATGTTTGTCCCTACGTTAAAGATACACCTGGAAGAGGCCACAGTCGTATCCGAGTCCTTTGACCTCGTATCTGGTGAAAGATACACCTGGAAGAGTGTTTGTGTTTGATCTTGGAAACAGCCTCTCTACTTTCAAAGAGGGGCAAGGTCTGTGTACAAACCCCATACCCTGCTTTTTGTGAGCTACTTTCAAAGAGGGGCAAGGTCTGTGTACACACCCCATACCCTGCTTTTTGTGAGATTTTACTGGGTTGTTGTTTGGTGTGTTTGTGCTAAAATAGCCTTGGATTGTAAAGAGAACAAGTATGTAGGAGAGGATTTCTAGGGTGGTTGACCTTCTCATCAGGATGATCTCTTGATACGCTCAACAACCCTTCATTTTGGATCGACAGGGAGGGATACATGCTTCAACAACCCTTTTCATATCTACGGATATGATTCTTGATTATCATCCCATCCATAGAACCATGATTGTTGTTGTTGCTGGTGCATAGTCAGTCTATGATGATAATGAATTGTTCTATAGTTCCTTTGGTGTGGAGTGATTCGACCCCTGTCTTGGCGTGGCGGCCTAAGGTCAGCAGCCATGGCGGTGCGGCATGTCCTTTACCCTATTTCATTTATCTGAGCCATGGTTCTGCAGTCAAGCCAATAATGTCTATTTGGACCCTGCGATGAAATGTTGATTATAACATCTACGGATTGGCTGTGATGAGGGATATGTTGAATTGATTGGGTAGAGGAATAAGTATGCTGAATCTTGGCATGGCAACCACTGGTTTGCAGCCATGACAGCATCTTTGTCCTTGCTTGATTGTGATTGACTTATGAGCCATTTGCGTACACAGAAACCTTCCCCAGACCATACTCTTGTTGGATTTTACTAGTTCATATGGTAAAACTAGCTATGTTTTAGTACTATATAGATATATTTCCCAATTAATTAAGTACTTCTAGCTCCACGCTAATAATCTGAACTTTCTTCGATCTTCCTAAATCCACCAACCGCCACCCTCTTCTTTGATAATCTCAGCCTTTGATCTTCCTTATTCTCAAACCAACCACAATCACGTCTCCCCTTCCCAGCTGCTGCGTGTGCCACCTCCATCTACATCTTAGTGTTTTTTTCCTTCTAACCAAGCCAACTTCTGCGTCTCAGGCATGCTGCTGCCATCATCAAACCTCCCCTTCCTTGCCACCGCTTGACACACGCCACTCCAAGCATGTGCCGCCACACTATCAATCCCACCGCCGGCCGCCGTCGCTCCTCCTGCTGTCAACTAGCTCTGCGCGTGCGTTCACACAGACACCCATCATCATTGCATGTCTATCCCACCAGCCTACAATTATATTCTCTGTCCAACCAAGAAAAAGCTGGGGGAGACGAAAGAAAGATTATAAAGCAACAAAGAAACAAACAGAAGAGGACGAAAACTCAAAACCCCATTTTCCCACCCTCTTCTTCTTCTTCTACTTCAATCCTTTCCCCCCTTCGTCTGGATTCAGAGCGCCGGCGATGACGGACGAGAGGCCGGAGACAGAGCTGATCTCGATTCCGGCGACGCCGCGCGCGTCGACGCCGGGAATACTGACGCCATCGGGACAGAGGGTCGTTCATATCCCCCCGATTCTTGAGCCCAATCGGAACGCCGATGAAGAGGGTTCTGGTGAACATGAAAGGCTACCTGGAAGAGATGGGTCACCTCACAAAACTCAACCTGCAGGACGCCTGGCTCCCTATCACAGAGTCCCGCAACGGCAATGCTCACTACGCCGCTTTCCATAACCTCAATGCCTCCGTCGGCTTCCAAGCTCTTCTCCTGCCCGTTGCTTTCTCATTTCTTGGATGGTATTTTACACACACATATCTCTTCTTCTTCTTCTTCTTCTTAATTCGGGCCTTATTTATGGTTTCTGTTGCATTTCTGGAACACCATTTCATTTATTTCTTCCTCTTTCTGCAGAAAGATGCAATCTTTTTCATATTTTCGATCTGTTTTTGTGGCTTCTTTGAGAACTCGGTAAAAAAACCCCAATTGGGAATAGTTACTGCTCCAGTACTGTTCATCTTAGCTGCTTTGAATCTCTGTTCCCAATCTTTGAAGTTTTTTTTACCCCATTTGACTGTTTTGCCCAACTTTCACCAAAGGTCAGGCAAGAGTGAATCCCGAGGCTCTCGTTTTCATGTGCTTTTACATCCAAAATGAATGATTCATAGAGGAGTCTTGTCTTGCTTTGATTTACCACTCTGCATTTATTATTTATTTATAAAGCTTTAATCTTTTTTAATTTTAAATTTTTAACACAGCTTTATTCTTCTTTATACTGGTTGCCAATCTGATTTGTTTATTATTTGACTTTGTTACTTACTTCAATTAGTTGACATCGATACAACTTATATGTGTGAAAGCCTTTCAATTTCTATGTATCCCACGTGCTCAAATCCTTTTTGGATTGATTGTGAAAACACCCTATGATTGCTAGGTAAACTATCTGCCAATATTTGCCCCATATGAAGCCAGCATTTCCCATACGCAATCCATTATCGAGATTGTTTGCTGATTGTTATGCTCAATCATTTTTCCAGGTTTTAAAAACGCAGCATAGACGATGCTTACATTGTTTCCATAGCTCTGGTACACATCAATCCCTTTGATCTGATTTCATTTGTATTGACTTTCAATCTTTTCATGTTCAATACTGCCCCCATTTAGTGTAGTTAATGCATTACTTTCTATGTGTTCTACTTTTCTTGAGTCTTAGCTCAGGATTATTCTTTGAATATTATCTTCTTTCCACCCCATCTACAGACATTTTTTTACTTCAACACAACAGCAAATGTGTTACTTAGATTATTTTCATGAGGGAACTACATAACACTGCATGCAGTGCGGAGACAAGGAATCAACAACTACAAAAAGGTCTATACTCGTATCATCTAGAATATTCATAACACTTTCACTTGTTACTCCACTCTAACATAATAACAAAAATATACACATTCAGAATCTCTACTGACCTCGGCGATGAGGAAAAGAAAATACAATTCACTCTATTCATAGAAGATCTTAAAAAAAATAGCACGATCAATGGAGCTGAACACACCGTTGGAATTAATGGACATCGACGATCTTAACAAAGGGCTGAGATCACTGGTCATCACAGCTGCTGTGCAGTTACAGCGATCCCCATACCAAAGAGGAGATAAAATGTTTTCGTTATTATGCTTAGATCAGCTATCTTACAAGCACACAAAGAGAAAAGAAATACCTGCAACCCAAGATGAGTAACATATGCAGGAGAAAATAATAAGTACACTTTCAAAGCACCTGCCTCCAATAATGAAACTACATACTAGCCGTAGTGAAAATAACTTCTAACCACTTTGCAGGTCATTTTCAGATTTTGTTAGGTTAGTTTTTGCCTTAACTTAAAAACCATTAGGTCTTAAGTGCATGTGAGATATATGTAATGCTATGCTACTGTAACTGTTATGTCTAATACGGTGTATCACTGTAATCCTCACCCTTTCTGTAAACTTAAGGACATGTAAAATATATATATGTAATGCTATGCTGCTGTTACTGTTATGTCTAATACAATTTATAACTATAATCCTTACCCCTTTTGTCATATAGTATACACGTTCTTAATTGCTGCTTGTTCATGTGCACCTTTTATGTCTCTGCTAGGTTTGAATATTTAAAATAAAATTAAATGGATCTATGCTTTTTCTCTTATTAAATGCAAACCATTCTTAAAGATGCTTGGGCAAACACACACATAGTGTGTGTCCTGCTAGTATATATATATATATATATATATATATATATATATATATATATATATATATATATATATATATATATAGATTTTGGTTCAGGTGAGAATGCGATCTTATGAAAGAAATAAGAATGAATCTGGTGCTTTAGATTGTGAGATCTAAGGGTTAGGATTGCATCAAAATTAGGTGCACCAAAATGGTTTGAAAATGCATCATGTAGAAATGCACCATAATCCCTTGAAAATGCATAACCTCAAAATCTGAATGCAGGATGCAATCTGAGCCGCACGATGCATCAAATCTAAAGGCTAGATTTTATTCTTATTTCTTTCACCAAGGTGCATTCTCACTTGAACCGCCCCCTATATAT